GATCCCTGATCATCGCCTGCTTCGAGAAGGAGAACTTTGTGGCCGTTCCGGGCGAGGTTGGCGGCTAACGGTCCCCCCCCGGCGCCTGAGCCGACCACGACGTACTCATAGTCACGCAGTGTGTCGATTTCCTCCTCTGGAAGCGCTCCACCATGGCTACGCATGGAGCTGACAGTTGTCTCTGGCATATGGGTTGTGGAAGATTCGCTCATGGCGGGATGTGCGAAGTAGAGCGTTTCTGTTTAACGAGTTGGATACGGTCAATGTATCTTTAGGTTTGGTCTACGAGGGTGTTTTATGTAACCTGGCAGCCTGCGGAACCAGCATCTTTATAACTCTACTTAAACTGTAGTAGGCAGCTTTAATAAGCTTTTGGTGTAAAGCTGCTATAACCCTTTTTCCTATACATATTATTATCTAGACTCTCGGAACTTTAGGAAGCTCTAGAATGCTTTAAAGCATGATTGAGAGGGATATTCAGTTTTAAGTCCAAACTTTGTCAATTAACAGTTGCTGGACATGAGATCACTGGCTTAAATAAATTTTTACCTTGATCCTTGAACTCTGGCGCCCAGCTAGTATGGCTTTGCGACGGGATTGAGAAGCACGGATTGGTGGACTACCAATGTCGAGTGTAGGAACAGCAGATCGTCTCCGGTAAGGCCGAACCCAGATATTGACCTCATCATCGCGCTCACCCCAGGGACTTCGGCAGTCGTCTACTTAGTCATCGGATACTGCCTTGGCCTCACCGAGTCAGTCCAGAGAGTGGTTGATTCGGGCCGCTGACGTTAACATTGGGGCATAGTGAAGACTCGAATCCCTCTGAGTACGCTGAGCTGATGGGACATCTGGAATGATGGACATCATCCAAAACGTCACGTGTACTTTTGCGATAGGTTTGAAGGCTTGTCAGCCGCAAAGGCTCCCTCTCAGAGGTGACGAGCTGAACCTGCTGTCCCATTCTTGTGTGTCTAATCTAGACTATAGTACTAGAATGCATAACGCAACCTTTACATACCAGGCTTACGAATTTGGAATGCTATTGTGATATAATTGCGATGAGCATTTCGAAATCGGTAGTTACTCTTTAGTCTAGATCCTTGAGGTGAACGCTGAAAGTGAGACGTAGTGTTGGTGACAGACTTGCGCCGTGTTCTATTCGTCAATCAGGCCGTCAGTGATGATAGTTTGTGGCGTTTTACTCAGCTTGCCACCTCTGCGAGGAAGCCTGAGAGGTCGACCATACTGCAAACGAATCGCAAGTATAAGGGATGCTCTAGACCAGACCTTTAGACACTTTCACATGGATCGAGCTCTAATAAGCATTCATTACGGAGCCACCAGGACTTTTACGCCAATGGAAGTCTAGACTCTTAAGAAGCTTTAGGAAGCTCTGGAATGGCAAACTATTTGCCTTGACTAATACTTGTACTCCGGCGCCCAATTCCATTTTAGGTTTCCATTCCAGAGGCACCATACTTTTTCATATAAGACTTCATTTGATGGCTTAGGTGTTCCACTACCCTATGACCCCTATTGCTAAGACCAGCATTGATCGAGGATTCCTTTTGAAAGCACCGTCACAGACTGACCTCTCTCTTCCGCCCTCATTTTTCAACCATCCAGCCTTGCTACACTATGGCGGAAAAAACGCTCAAGCTGGCCAGCTACAAGCGCATCATCCTCTGCGCAGACGGGACATGGCTTGCGTCCGACGTGGGCGACAAGTCCGCCCCTTCAAACGTCGCTAAATTGGCTCGAGCAGTTGCGAACAGTGGCCCTGATGCT